CTGGGAGGGAGGGTTGCAAATCGTTTTCCAGGGCTGGATGCAACTACGGGGGGCGCGCTTTAAAACAGTTTTTAGAGTAACAACACGAGCGGACGGTTTCGTAATCGCTTTCCAAAAACACTCTCTTTTAAACCTTGAATATCATAGGTCTATTCCTGGAATGAGGCGAGATACGCGAAAATACGAGTATTTAATTGGCGGTTCGCGGTTCGAGGGTAACACCCCTGGCTTGAGACTACGAGAGGAGCTGGTTCTCTTTCGAAGTGTGCTTCAAATCTCAAGAAGCTTTTAATATTCAATCATGCATTTAGCTTAGACTTCTAAAAGTTAGAAATAAGGGCATAATTTAGCCAAGACTTCTTCAACTCCAAAATAAATATATAATTTTAGGACAACGCTTCCACTTATTCTGGGGTTCTCAGCCGGGCTTGAGTCGCGTTTAACAACTTCACCGGAAAAGAGTTTTAGCAGCGAAGAAATTGATTTGTCTGTGTATTACTCTGAAGATGACCCGGATCATTAAAAAAAATGTCAAGATTTAGTGGTTTTCATTGATCGACTTACATTTTGTGAACTGCTATTGCAGCCATTGCCATCTCGCATAATTTGAGCACTGCGTTTAGATATGTGCGTATAAAAGAAGAAAAGGATAACTGAAATTTAACACTTATTAAGAACGCGTCGATAAAAGTCAAATTCAATTCAATGTTAAAACAATTGTTTTCTTTAGCTCCGGTACCTAATAATATTACTATAGTGCCTGGAACCCATTACTGACAAGTGTCTATATTATCTTAAACTTCTCTCTCGTCACAGCTTTCCCTAAAACAGGAACAAAATATGTCGCTGGTAGCCGTCGAGGGAGAAGCGCGGCAGATTGCCAAGAACCTGGTTGGGTCTTGTACGCGTTACTGAAAAAAGCAGCCGATTACAATTACAACTACTTTACTGTAAAAAGTAACCGATTACAATTACAGTTACAACCTCAAAAAAGTAATCAAAAAATTACTCTAAAGTAATCGATTACTTCCCACGTTACTTTTCATTCAACTCTTTTTTGGTTACGGTAGCATAATCCTTGGGTTCTCCTGCTCACTTGTTCTGAAAAAAAAAGCAGAAAAAAAAACACCTTTATTGTTTTTGCTTAAGGCCCTGTCACACTGGGGCAACACGACGGGAACAGCTACACAACACGTTGTTTAACAGTCGGGCAACTTGTTGCTCGCTCCCCGTGTTGACCGACAAACCTATCACATCGCGGCAACAGCAGTACTACATGGACGGCAACTAAAATTTTGCCTCGGTATGACAGCTTTCGGCCACAAAAACAGCGGCAACTTGGGTTGGACAAAGTGTGTTTCCCTGACCACTGGCTGAGCGAATTTCGGGCCGGCAACACGACAACACATCTACCTTCGACGGCAGAGCTAGTTTCCTATCGCTAACGTCTTACTCAAATAAAGGCTTGAAAAATGTTATTTAACAATACTTAAGGCTGGCGTGCAGCTAAAATAATTTGGTGAATGTTTTTACTGCGTAATTACGGAAAGCGATTGTCGAAATGGTCACAGCTACGGTCGTGAACGTTCAGACTGGTGCTGAAATTAGAACTGTCGAGAGACCAGCTGACATTACTGGTAGCGAAATAAAATGGCATGCCCACTCGCCGGCTGATAAAGTAAAAAAAAAATATAGAAAAGGGAAGATTAAAAAATTGAAGCATTAAAACGAGCACTTTTGTATTGAGTGTTGATGCTTGGAACTTGGAAACAGCCACTACCAGAACCCTGATTTGCTTCGAAAATACCCTGGACGTTTTGAGAATCAAGCGATCGCATAGCAGGAGGCAGGCAAATAGACAGCGTTGAAAAATATTTATTCCACCGACTGTTATGAAAGCCGGACGCGTCTGTGTCGCAGTTTTTAAGCACTGTTAGTTCAGCTCAACACCACGGTACGGAAATCGCTTTGGGGCACTGGCGGTGCTAACTCAATTTTACAGTATAAATAGAAATAGCATGAAAGAAAGGACCGTGCAGAAACACTTCATACGGTGGCGTAAATCGCGTAAATGCCGAACATATATCAGCGATCTCACTTTCCTCGGTTAGGGCTATCTGCTTTGTCAGCGAATGAAGAACATTTTGATAAAATAAACGGTGAAAAATACTCGCCGTTTTAAGTTGTCAATCACAGTCACTGGTTGATGTCGTACCGTGGTCATTTTCGGCACTTCGAATGCACTAGCACTTTGTAGAGTCAGATTTCCAGCAACTCCTCGACGCACACGAACGAAGGTAAACAATCAAGATTGCGGCATATTCCCCGTGTTGTCCCACCGTCAGCGCGGTGTGATAGGGTTGTCGGACAACAAATCGGACAACACGGTGGCCGGGCAACAGCAACATGTTGCCCGACTGTTGTTGTTGCCTCAATGTGACAGGGTCGCCGGTAAGACGATTTCCTTGTGTTGCGGGATCGAGTTGTCCAACTGTTGCCTCAGTGTGACAGGGCCTTTAGAGTTGAGTGAGCTACGCCAACAGACACAATCTCTCTCGTGAAAACAATAAAAAAAAAAAGAGAGCTCTTTAAATACATGACTCACAAGAGGCTGGACAAGGTCATTTTGCATACCCTGAAGTAGTCCGCGGTGTACCAAAATAAAAAAAATGTATCCAGAAAACAAGGATAGTGAAACGGCCTACTAATCCTCGAGGTCCTGTTCTTGGTGGTTTCGAAACAGATAAGAAAATTGACCGTTGCCCAGAGCTGAGTTACTCCAGCACATCTAACCCCTTAAAAAAAATACAAATTGAGAAACTTTGTAACGGGTAATTTTGTAATCGATTACAGCAAAAAAAGTAATTCACTTACAAGGATCGTTACCCCTTAAAGCAGATAATTGAAACGTTACAAGATTACAGTCAAATGTGATCGATTACAAGTAATTCATCACTTGCAAGTATGAGCGCAAAAAAAATGCGAACGTATGAAGGTGTTGCTGGAGTTGCGGCATTTGAACTGCAGCCAATCCCCATGGTTGCTTCAGTTTCCGTTAACTTTCTGGCTGCAAAACAAGCTACTCCAATACAGGTTTCTGACGTATCCGTCTCATTTTGTGTTCCACCGCCAGGACCGTGCAAATCTTTTTTCTGCGCTTGTGACGTTAATTCCTTAAAACCGAAGGGACAAACTAACGTCGTGGTAAACAGACCAATCAGAAAATGCGTTTCGTACCGTTATACCGAGGATGCTCCCTGAGTTGTTAAGAACCTTAAGATATAGGACAGCGAGGAAAAACCCCTAGCGAAACTAACTGGCGATAGTTTCTTATAGCATGGCAAATGGCATGGCGTACAGACTTCCTCCGAGCACAGGTGGTTGGGCAGCCCAGGGTAAAGGTATCTATCCCTCTGCCCAGCGGCGAGTGACCTTCCCGCGCGTTTGTTTCGCGCCATAAAGCGCGCACTGTCGCATAAATCCCGCGCGAAAGCTGGTTAACCAACGCCCGCGCCGACTCGCCACCGGCCGCCGCTGCCACTCGGATCCTTTGTGATGCAAGCGCAGCCGGCCATGCGTGAAGTCCGGCCCCCGCCAGGGTCGACGCTGCCATTGTCGCCACGCTCGTGGGGCTGCGACCAGCCGTGCCTTTGCCACAGGTACACAGCGTCGCACATGAGGGACAACGCGGACCGCTGGCCAATTATAACAGCCAGCACGTTGCGGAGGTAGCAATACGCGCCAACGCATGAGGAATGAGGTGCACGCCCGTTTTGTTGCTGACGCCGCTTAAAGCGATTCCTTACTAGTTGTTTAGTTCTTCTTTATTTATAGCGTCTTTTGTCTTTCGTGATTGCGAAGGTTGCGCGCTTCTGTGGTGCTGTAGCTTTCTTTGTTTGTGGGAGAGCTGGTGTATTGTGCTTGAAGATGCTATCGATGGCTTGAAAAGACGGCGGCGGACCCGCCATAGACTACGGCCAGCGAAGGGGGAAGAAAGAAGGAAGAGTTCGTTTTGAAACTTTACAATCATAGCGACTTCGTATTTTTTGTGTTGTCAATTGTTTTATATACTGCTGCTGACTGATAGTATTAGCGATTTGGAGCTGTACTCTGGGCACGTACTCTTGTCTGCGTACGAGTTTCCTCTGGTGGGCATGGAGTTGGAACAAACTATTTCGTGTGAAATATAGTATCTGCAGCCGTTACGCCAAGAAATTAAGATTGAAAAATAAAGGTATTCATGAATGAGAATGTGGAGTTATAGTTTTTATGTTCATAAGAAAATAAAAAGAAATGCCGCATCAGCAAAATTCACCACGTGCGACGGCAATGCCGACGGCAATGCCAAGGATATACTGTTCACTAACTTATCTCTTCTTTTTACCGCTTTAGTTTATTACAGCGATCACAGAAGAGGCTATAGTACTTGAGAAATAACTGCCATGCTGTCGCCATTTGTGTGTTCACCATGACCGGTGATAGTGCAGCTCTGCTCTGCCAGATGTGGGAATTCACCAGCGGCGTTAACATATTGGGTATTGAAAGCGTGTACCTATTTTCCGCGCGGATTAATCGTCGCAAGCACTGGGATGGAGGGGCGAACTATGCCCAATTTCACCCCAGCCTGGAACACAGCGAAGGCTGAGGGCGCAAATTCAGCACACAAAAAGCGCAAATTCACTTGAGAAGTTCCCAAGCATTGGGACTTCATATCATTCAACATTTACAAATCGACTCCTCACCATAAACACTCCACATCCCATCATGAGCACGTTAATCGCTATTTATAAAAGCAAATAAAAACCGCGCCACAGCAAAAAAGAGAAAAAAAAAACGCAGAATGGAAACAGTTTTTAACACATAAGTGGTGTATACTCGTCACAATTCATGAGCAAGATGGTTACATAATGTTGAAAACGCGCGAACAGCTTATGCTAGCTGCGTTTCTCAACCAAAAGGCTAAAGGAACCTACGTCATTGCGTCACCCCCTCGCTTGCAGGCGATGCTGGCATGATCACAAGCTCCAGCCCGGCGAATCCTTCTGCATCAAGGGATCAACAACCAAAGACGTCACCCGATGGCCACGACCAGACCCCCTCACATGACCGGCCGTGTTCCCCGAAGCCTGGAGTCGTGGAAGACGGGTCTTTGTTGTGCTCGGGATGCGAGATCCCAATCCAGGAACGCTTCTACCTACAGGCGTTGGACAGACCCTGGCACACAGGCTGCCTGCGCTGTTGCCGATGCGGGGCTGGACTAGACACACAAGCGTCCTGCTTTGCCAGGGAGGGACGAATCTACTGCAAGGACGACTATCTAAGGCACGTCTTCTTTTTGTCCCAAGGAGTTCCTCCCGATCTCGGCAGTGACACAGTAAAGATGTGCAGATGCGTACAGACGACGTAAACAGTACTGCCCATACTGGGGAGTATTTCACTCATTGTTTACCCTACCAAAAAAAAAAGCATAACTTTTCACTGTTTGGATTATGGAAGTGGAAATTTGTTTCTGGAAATCTGATATCCAGATCGCAGACAAAACAATAATTTCTGAAAACCTCAAGTCCAAATAGGATCCAAATAGATTTTCTGTTCCATATTCCAGGTAGCGTGAAGTTATACTGGGTTTTTCAATAGAGTACGCGTCAACGAGTTTCACAGGTATTCTAAAATAGTGCTTCAACTACAGAACCTCTTCATTTAGGAAAGGGACGGTCGAAGAGAATTTAGGAGCTCATGAAACACATGAGGGTACCAGGGAGCCCCAGGGTTTCTAGGAACCCATTTTGAGAATCCATGGTCACAGATACTGTCATGTTGTAGAACTGGCGGTGGACACAAGAGTATTGTAAGCAACGAAAAATTCACCGTTTGCGTGTCGTCTCTGTGAAATGAATACCAGCTTGCGTGTAGCTGTCCTGCTGAGCATGCGACGGATCACTTGCTACGAGGATGGAAGTCGCCATATTTCAAGACATAGATTACCGCTGAAGACTAAATATTAATTTCGTTAACTTCCTTTTATACGTTGCAAAGGAACATGAGTGCATTCGCACCCAATCTCCTGCTCTCAACGTGAACTTTGAAACTTTGAAAGAGGAAAAAAATACAAAACAAAATATCGAAGACTTTGAAAGATTCGTTTTAGCTTACTTCTTCTTTGAGAGAGGAAACTCGTGTATATTTGATGTACAAAGAACACAAGAGGAATCCTCGAATAAAAAAATTTACTTCACTCAAAACCTTATGAAAGCGTTCTTATGATAGAAAATGTAACATTACGAAGTTTATTTGACTGAATTCCAAACTCTTTTTTTTTTTTTCAGGGCCTTCGTGCGCTGCTGCGCCTGTGGCAGCGCCCTTGCTCCCCGGGACCTGGTGATGCGAGTACGCGGAGTATCGTTTCACGTAGCATGCTTCCGGTGTGCCAGCTGTCACTGCCCGCTGCTCAAGGGAGACGTGTTTGGAATGCGCGACAACAGGGTCTTCTGCAGGCTGCACTTTTTGGGCCACAGTCCGTCAGGTAAGGAAGACGCCAAAACGGGCTCATAGCTCACAACGCTGCACGCCAATAGAGTGAATAGAACCGTGAAGTACACGACAACCACTACAATACATAGATGAACTCGTATTAACACCTCCGTGCTCAGTGGCGTAATAACTTGTGTTTGAGTTGGGGGGGGGGGGCAAACCAGCCCCCCCCCCCGCCCCCCCCCCCCCGGTCGCATATTTTTACTAGTGATGGGCCAAACATTTGCCGAATCGAATATCTGGCGCAACTTTTGCCGAACTTTTCTAAAGATTTGGAAATGATTCGGCAAAAATGCACTGTTACCAGATTTAACATTGACATTTAGTTTTTGCTGACGAAAAAAGGTTAATATGAAAAGACAAGCCCCGAAAGACTAGGACAAAGTAAGGAAACCACGATACAAGGCGCACTTGCAACTGAAGTTTTATGTTTGAAAAAACATAGTTTTATATACACTTAAAACACACTACGTCACCTTCCACGCGCCCACTCTTTATCTAAGAATAAACGCTCTTTATCTGGCAGAGTAACGGAAGGTTCACTTATGCACTTATCTGCACCCTTCTCTTTTATTGCATACGCCTCATGAACTTCCATCCTAATCTTTTTGCTGTATCGCGTCAGGATCGCCTTGTCATTGAAAACTGGTGTGCGCTCGCATCAGTTGAAATGCACAGCCAGGTGCCCAGAAGGTGACTGTTTTAAGGAAACAGCGTCACAGTGTGCTCTTTCGCGCCATCATGTGCACAACGCTGCAGTTTCCGCTACGTAAGACCCACCGCAGGAAAGCGGAATGTCATACCAACACCGGTCTTACATTCCACGAACTTATTCTGGTGTCTTCCTTACACTCGTCACTCTTCCCTTTAGAATCATTGATTTTCCTGCATAATGCAGATAGCATTTTAGAGGCTGAAAAGACGACTGGAACGTCATAACGTTCCGCTACCTTTTGCAAGTTATGAGATACCACGTGAATGTTGTAAGGGACTACAAATTACATTTTAAGGAAGCACGCAAATACCGTAAGTGTCAGTTTTCAGTCAATCAACTACCTCGTTGCCTCAATGGAAAGGTCAAATAAAAATTACACTATCCAGAATGCACCGCATCATTTGTCACTTGTGCAGTGGACTGCGGAAATTACTGGTCGATCTTCTGTTCTTGAGGATGAAAATATTGAAGAGAACCACACTCGCAAAAGTTCAGAAACGCAGAGGTACCGTGTCGCCTACTCCACACCTGGCCGTGACCGCTGGTTGTACTGAACTGTGCGATAATAACCCCGCGACTGCGCGGCGTCCATTTGTGATTTATGACCCTGTCGCGTTCGTGCGCGTGCGCATACATTTACTCAATTTTTGCCGAATCTTTGCTGGACTTTCTTTCAAAATTTCGGCATGTGCGGAACTTTGCCGAATCTTAAGTTCGGCAGATTCGGTCCACCACTAACGTTTAAGGCGTGTGTGTTGTAGGCGTCGTAAAAGAGGGGGGGGGGGAGGGGGAGAGGGCCAATTGTGTATGCGTAGCGGGCGTTTTGGCCACTAGCTCCTCTTACGGCGCAGGCGATAGGCCCCCTAGCAACGACGCTCACACCGAATTGGCTGCTTGGCAACGCGCGGAAACTTAAATTTCAGATTCGGACGGCGCGTGTATCACTCGAAGCGCGTTAACCCGCGCGTTAACCCACCCCCGCGCCTGCGTTCTCGCCGCTTCGCGGCGACAGTGTGCGATTGCTAATTACAAAACGATTAACCAACTCACCGTCCCCCCTCCCTCCCCCGTACACGCCACTTTGCGGCGTCCAGCCGGCAACCCAAACCCCGCTGTCCCCCATGCACCTCCGTAAACAGAGTCCCATACGATTTAGTTCAGCGATGTTTCGTCAGCAACATTCGTTTTTTTTTCAGTGTTAATCGTAAAAAAGATACGTCGTAAATATCGCCAAATGCCTCGACAAAACAAAATGTTCGAGGAAAAAAGCATAGAAGAAGTAAGCCCACACCATGAATAGAACCCGGGTCTGATACGTATGAGGCAGACATCTTACCACTAAGTTTTGCTTCTGCTTCGGAAACTCGCATTATAACCGCTGCCTATGTTGACGGTGGCAGCGCGCCTACCTCCACGAAGCAGCCAATCCGGCGTGAGCACCGTTGCTAGGGTTTGTATCGCCTGCGTGTTAAAAATATGCCTCCGCGGGTCGGGAGGCGGTGTCCTTGGTATTCCATGGGCGCCGCCGGCCAGTGTTTGCCCTGCCCACTGGCGGCTATTTCAGAGGGGGGGGGGGCAAGCGTCCCCCTTGCCCCCCCGGTTGGTACGCCCATGCGCCTGCTGAGAGCAACCCAGCAAACCAGCTATGACTAGTTAATTCTATATTCTTTTTTTCTTTTTTTTTTTAACTATATTCGTCTTCACCTCAAGTACCGTAGTAAAAAATGTTCGGCACCTCGCGGAGCACTACTAATGTCCCCTTTTATGTGGAGAATTAAGATATTCATAGGTTCATTTTAGATTATATATATGTTCTATTATTTCCCTTTAAGTACGACCGCAGCCGTTGCTGGGATCCAATGGAACCAATCAAGCAGCGCCAAAAGTGCATGGTCACGGTGTTTATTATTAAAGCGGTAGCTTTAAAGACCAGTGGAGCTCTGTTTCATGGGCTCTGCCATGTTTGTTTATGCTGAAGCCATGACACAGCAGCGGGCTGCGCATTTTTGCGAGACTCTGTTTTTTAGAAACCTTCGTACATATCGTGGTACAATAATGTCAGAAAATCATAGTGACGAAGCTCCAAGAACATCACCGATGCCAAGATTGCGGTAAAACGAAAAAAAGTTGTTTAATGCGCAGCTCCCCTCTTGACAAGAGCCTGCGTTTAGGTTAGTATTTCCCATTTTTATCGCTGGGGGCTAGGATTCTGGAGACTGGTCTATAGGTCGAAACACGCTCAAGGTAGTTGCCTCAGAGTCACGTAACTCCAAATCATAGTCAAATTTGGGGGTTTTATGTGCCAAACCAACGACGGGCATCTGGCACGCCCCAGCGGAGGACTGAGGATTAATTTCGACCACCTGGGGATCTTTTGACGTGCAACCGAAAGCTCGGTTACACGGTGCATTTTCCGCAATAAGGCTCCGTCAGATTGCGGGCACCTCGGCCGGGATTCGAACCCGCCACCTGGGGATCCGTAGGCCGGCGCTCTCGCCTCAAAGCCACCGATTTTTTTTTTTTTTTTTTTTTTTATTGCCAGGTTTGCATAAAGCAATACCGAGTAGATGCGAACAACTGTATGTTGGGAACGGTAATAGACACGCGTTACAGAACCCACATCTAAAAAGTTGAGTGAAATCTAGCCTGTCTTGCTAGAGTAAGTGAAGTTAAAAGGTTTTTAAAGTTGCCAGCTCATCCAGAACAGGCAGCCACTCAAGGTCACTATTAATCTTTTTGTAGCATTCCTGGAGGCGTTTAACGCTGTCAATGAAATACTCGCGGACAGTACGGGCGTTTACGTCTGCATGACGTACCGCCATTCGACTTTTCCATATACTGTGGAGCCCCAGGAGCAGGATTGTGTCATATGGTACCGGTTCACTGTCTGCCGTTAGAAAACGAATCCCATGCGCTGTTAACGGTAGTTCCTTTTTGATTGTGCGCTGGAGCACGTCCCAATATAGCAAAGCATCCCAACAATCTAAAAAGACATGCTCGATACTTTCTGGCTGCTTCCATAATTGGCAGTTTACTCTCCAATACAAATTTATTCCTTTAGCTTCTAAAAAGGTTTTTACGGGTAGTGTTTCACTGTGTAATCTAAAAAAGAAAGTTTTAACCCCAGGGGGAACCAACGCTTTTTTAACACGTTTTAGCACGTCCTGTCCGGGTGCTCCAGCGTATATGGTCCTATACCATGACAAGGGAATTTACACATGCACTAAATCTCGCGTCAACCTTTTCTGCGATACAACAGACAAATATTCCCGCGAAAACCGTAGAAACAGGAAACGACATGATGATGCAACTTCTCTCAAAAAACGCGATAATGTTCCGTAACGAACACGGCATGACGAAACCACATAACTGGGCAACACATCAAAGAGCTTTGTTTGTATTACCTTGCGCAGAAATGGGTCAGATTGATCGCGCACAAACATAAATCGTTTAACGAGTTGACGGATGAAGAAGTGACAGAGACCAACACCACCATCTCGGGGTCGAAGGAAAGGATTGGCTCTACTAGTCCGCTCCCACTGAGACGCCCAAATGAATACTGCAAACACCCGGTGAATTCGCTGAATATTGACTCTAGAACAATGTAGTGCTTGAAGAACGTACCATGGTTTCGACGTAAATAACAAGTTACAAACTGTCGCACGTGCGAAGATCGACAATTCTTTCGTTACCCACTTTTCCGCGGTTGCCTTCAGTTGATTAGTTTCCACCCGCCAGTAGTCGTTAATTTCGCGATAATGTTTTAACGGGACACCCAGATACTTTTGGGGTTCCCGAGCCCATTGGATATTTTCAAAAAAGTTTGGCGCAGAAGCCCACTCTCCGTGCCATAGCCCGTAACACTTCGACCAGTTGACCGCACACGCTGTGACGTCACGAAACCGCTTAGTCGCTTCCACAGCCCTTGTGACGCTTCTAGAGTCTCAACAAAGAACAGCTATATCATCCGCATATGCTAAAATTTTTACTTCGCACTCGTGTAAAGTGAAACCCCTAATGTCCTTACATTGAATGATGTAGCGGCAGAAAGGTTCCAAAAAAATCGCGAAAAGTAACGGGGATAAAGGACACCCCTGCCATACTGAAGAAATAACGTTTATCCGCTTAGTGACTTCTCTGTTAATTATTAACTTTGCTGAACAGTTTAAATAAGCCATTTTTGCTCCTTCGAGAATGAAAGACCCGATTCCTACGAGCTCTAAAATTTGAAAAAGTGCGTCATGACATACACGATCAAAGGCTTTTTCCAAATCGAT